AAGGGCTCCAGTGGGAAGCAAATGTTCTGAGAATGATGAGGGCAACAAATGTACAAATGTGTTTGACACAATGGATGTATGTATGGATTATGATAAGAGTTGTATGAGCCCTCAATAAAATGATTTAAAAAATAAAATAAAATAAAGTTTAAAAAAAGAGCTTTGTCTTATAGCAGTGTGGTGAAGAAATCAGATGGAGCCCAGCTATCAGAAAGAATAGGATATTAAAGGCTTGTCTTAAAACAAGCAGCCAAATAAGTGAGGTGTCAACTCAATCCACACGAGTGGATCAATAATTACCTAGGGGTATGGCAGGGAGTTTGGTGGGGGGGAGAGGGAATAAGGATCTAACAACTACGAGTACAAGAAACAAGAAAATGTTCTGATATTGATTGTGATGGTGATTGCGCATTGTTTCTTAAAACGACTGAACGATTAAACTCTGTGGCATGTGGCAAAATAACTTGCATTAACACAATCAGTGATGTCATGGTTTATGAGCGTGGCTGTTAACAACATATTGGAGGTTTGAGTCCACACAGAAGTGCCTAAGAAGAAATGCCTGGCAATCCGCTTCTGAAAAACCAGCCGCTGGGTTTCTATCTGTGGGGTCAGTTCTACTCTGACGCACATGGATTCTCCACGTGTTGAGCTTGACGTCATGAGAACGGAACTGGTTCTAAATTTTTTATCCTTCACCTTTTGTTAGGTGGCAAAAATTTCGACTAAAGATGCAGAAAGTAAAAGGAGGTTGAAGCAACCGCTTCTCAAATAATGTTCGATTTGTTTGTCTCACTTGGCTTTTTCAGATCAGAAAAAGTAATAGTCTCCATGAAACCAGTAAACATTTTTGCTTCAGTTTTACAGATAGATAATGATTCATTAAAATCTAACTTTTTACGAAGATGTATTATGTTAATTGAAGAGAATTGTATGGGGATTCTGAACAATGACTTTTTTCAGTCTTTATTTATTTGTGAAGAGATAAGAACATTTCAGTCCTGGCATTTGCTGTGAGCTGAAATTCCTGGACACTGGGAGATGGCACAGAGAATCAGTTTATTAAGCACCCCTCTTCATTCATCAAGGGGGGCTAGAGATAAGAGTCCATGTAGAGTACATTGAAATCAGGTTTCCTGTTTTGTTTTCAGTCACTAAGTGGGTTTTTCAGCAGAGCTGCTATATACATTGGAGGATTTGTTCTAATTTTACTCCACACCTGACTAAATTTCTTTTTATGTCAGTAAACTTAAACAAGACTTAGTGGGAGGTATAAGAATAAGTTGGGAGCAGAAATAGCGGTTCCTGGCTTATCCTAGAACCCACACAAAGGTCAAGCTGGAGAGTCTGAGCTGCGGAATGAAGGCTGCCCATCACGTCTCATCCTGAAGAAGGGAGAAGTGAGATAAGTAGTTCCAGAACTGCTATTTCACGCGTGGTTCAAAGAGTGACATCCTTTTCCAGCTATCAGAAATAATAGGATCTGGAGTAGAATGTGAACACATCAATCCCTTTTCTAGTGTTTGACTCTCCCTCCTTTGGGCTTTGAGTTTTTCTTTAGTTCTTTCAGTTTAAGACTGAGTTTGTCCTTCCTCTTTGGTTTTCCAGCTTTGGAGATTTCATTATAATATTTTACTTTGTCTTCTCAAGCTACCCTTTGCTAATTGCTGTTCATCTCTTTGACTTCATCATTTCTACCATGTGTCGTAGCTACTGTATGATTCAGAGCAAGTTTCAGAGTCTCTTCTGACAGCCATGGTGACCTTTTCTTTCTTTTTTTGTCTTTTGAATGACCTTTTGCTCCCTGAATGTATGATGGCCTTGATGTCGTCCCCCAGCCCTTCCAGTGTTCTGTCTTAGTGTTTACCGTGTCACATCTGTCCTTGAAATCCACATGGGATAGACTCAGGTCCTATTTTGGCTTTATGAACTCATTTTCATTTTCTTCAGCTTCAACCCAAACCTACTAAATGAGCATTTGATCTGTTTCACAGTCAGTCTCTGGTTTTAGCTGCTGATATTGAACTTCTCCAGTGTCTCTTTCCACAGATACAGTGTTTTCCGTCTGGAGAAGTCCATGGGTATAGGTGACTTTGGTGTTGTTGACAAAAGGTACTTGCTATGAAGAAGTCATTGGTCTTTCCAAATTTTATCATATCATCTCCAGCTTAATTTCTAGCACCAAGGTACTATTTTCCAACTACTGTTCCTTCCTCTTTGTTTCTAACATTTGTGTTCCAGTCACCAATTATTATCTTGATCAGATGTTTGATCGATTTAAGACTTAAGACTTTGGTAGAGTTCTTCAATTTCTTCATCGTGTGCTTTGGTAGGTGGTACATACATTTGAATAATAATTGAATTGATTGATTGATTGATATCTAATGTGGATAATTATAATCTTATTATAGATGCATTGTGTTTCAAGATATACATTGAAATTTCCTTTTTGATACTGCGGATAATGCCGTTCCTCTTGATTGTTGACTCTCAGCATGGTAAACCACACTATTCAAAACGGCCAACATTGCCCCTTTCATCTCACGCACGCCGATTGTCGGTTTCTAGTGCCGATTTCATTTTGACAACTTCCACTTTCCCTACATTCATACTTAGTACATTCTGGGTTCTGATTATTAATTGATATTTGGGGCTGTTTCTTCTCATGTTGAGTCCTGCCAGTAAATCAAGGTCCGAAGGCTTGACTCCATCCACGTGATTATGGCTGACTCTGTTGAGAAGGCAGCTCTTTTTCAGTCATAGTTTCATATTTTGAGTGTCCTCTTCCCTGAGGGGCTCATCTTCTGGCACCGTTTCAGACAATGCAGATTTTTTTTCCTCATAAGGTTTTTACTATCTGACTAAGCTTTGATTCTGCCCAGACAGTTTTCCTCGGCTAATTCCTCATAGCTCTATTGGCATAGTGGAGACATGTTGGGCTGCAATGGGCAAGGTTAGCAGTTTGCAACCAAAAATGGTTCCATGGGATAAATATGGGATTTCCTCCTCTTGTCAAGACTTACAGTCTCAGAAACTCACAGGGGCAATTCCACCATGTCCAGAAAGGTCACTAGCAGTCAGTATTGACTTGATGGCAGTGATTTGGGCTGTTTTTCTTTTTAGAACTTCTCAAAAGTAGACGTCCTATTTCTCCTTTGCAGCCTGGAAACTCCGCTGAAACGTGTTCGCTTTGGGTAACCCACAGTCTGAGAAATGAACAGGTAAGTGGTGGATACAATATGTATAGAAACCGAACGGTTCTTAGGATAGTGTAATATCATCCTGTATAATATAGAATCACTTTATTCCAAAACATAAGTGCCTACCCCAAATCATAAAAATGAAATTGTACATCACTTTAAAACCAAGTATTTTGTAAGAACCCTGCCTATTTCCAACCATTTTCTTTTGTAATAAATGTTTATGTTTCATCTTGTAGGGTCTAGTTTACATATTTAAGGTATTTCTTTAACTTCTCACCATGTTTTCTTCTATAATGCTTATCGTTTTGCCTACTGTTGTCATGTAAAATCCTCTCTTCTCCCTGGAATTTGAGCTAAGTTGGTGAACATGTAGAGGTTCTAAACTTTTATTCCATTATATGTAGGATTAAATTGAGCCTCCCTGAGATGACAACCAGCCCTTAGAAGTCGACAAGCTTGTCTCCCAGGTGCACAGGAGATGTAATGCATGCTGTGAATTAAGCCCATCATCTGGGCCTCATGATGATCTGAGCCTCTGAAGGAAGTCCGCTTACACACACACGGCATGCTTTTGCATGGTCCCGATTCGACAACTTCTGTCATTCCTCACTCTCTCTGCAGATGACTCACCCTCACGTTGTAAATGGGCATGTATAACCAGACATGGGTGACTGAATTTATTCTCCTTGGTCTGTCCAGTGACTGGGACACTCAGGTGTCACTCTTTGTCCTGTTCCTGGTCATGTACCTGGTGACAGTGCTGGGGAACGTGCTCATTGTTCTTCTGATCAGACTGGACAGCAGACTCCACACACCCATGTACTTCTTCCTCACCAACCTCTCCATTGTAGACGTCTCCTATGCCACCAGCATCGTCCCCCAGCTATTGGTGCATTTTCTCTCAGAACATAAAGCCATCCCCTACCTGAGCTGTGCAGCCCAGCTGTTTTTCTCCCTGGGCCTGGGTGGGATTGAGTTTGTTTTACTGGCGGTGATGGCGTATGACCGCTATGTGGCTGTGTGTGACCCCCTCCGGTACTCGGCCATCATGCACGGAGGGCTGTGCACCAGGCTGGCTGTCTCCTGCTGGATCAGTGGCTCCATCAACTCTATGTTGCAGACTGCCATCACCTTTCAGCTTCCCATGTGCACAAACAATATTATTGATCACCTATCCTGTGAACTCTTAGCTGTGGTCAGGCTGGCCTGTGTGGACATATCTTCCAATGAGGTCGCAATCATGGTTTCCAGCATCGTCCTCCTGATGACACCCTTCTTCCTGGTTCTCTTGTCCTACGTCCGGATCATCTCCACTATTCTGAAGATCCAGTCCACGGAGGGAAGGAAGAAGGCCTTCCACACATGTGCCTCTCATCTCACGGTGGTGGTCCTGTGCTACGGTGTGACTATTTTCACTTACATCCAGCCCAATTCCAGCCCCAACGTTTTACAGGAAAAGCTAATCTCCATCTTCTATGCTGTTTTGACACCCATGCTGAACCCCATGATCTACAGCCTGAGGAACAAGGAGGTGAAGGGGGCCTGGCAGAAGCTCTCAGGACAGTTCTCTGGGCTAAGATCAAAATTGTCAGCTTGATGAAACAAGCAGCATGCAGAGGAAGGAGCTTTGCCTCTGGGTCCCCACCCAACTCAACATGACAGGTAGAGGCTTCATCTCCATGGCAACGTGAAGGAGATGATGTAGCATGTCCTAGTGATGTTAGGTAGGTTGCTGTGAGGTCGTGTTGGGTATGTAGGATGTGTGGGGATTTTTTTTTTTTTATGTCAAGGCAGCATGTTTTTTAAAGAATAAAAATCCATGTTAGCCATTTCTGATTTATTCAAATATTGAAACAAATGAAGCTCATTTATTGTTTTGTCATGTGACATTATTTGTAACCATGGATCTATTCATACACCTTCCTTTGAACCGCTAGTTTGTATTCATCCACATTCTGAACACATTCATCGTGTTTCCACTGGGGAGAGAGTGCTCTTGATGTCTGAGACTCACTTACAATGCTTTGGTTGCATGTGTTCTTAGCTAGTGATTGTGAGTCACAATTATGAGATCACACAAGGAGAGAGTGGTGAGTTAGGCTTTTTTTTTTTTCTTTTCTGAAGGAACTACTACATGTGAATGTGTGCATTCTTTTTGATTTATTTAGTCAGATCCATGGAGGGCATCACAAAATACCCTAGTTTACGCATTGTGTACAACCATTGATTGTTTGTGCACAATGGCTGGGTTGGCCAAGGAAAGCTGAGATTCAGTCACCGCTACATAGCATATAAACAGATCGAGTAATAAAATGTCATATACATGAGGTCCCATCCAAGATGTTCAAGTTGCCATATCGTGAAAGATCAGCAAACACTTTCTCTGAGACTCTGAACATCAAGTAAGCAAGTGAAACATGGAGTAGATAGAATTTCAAAGACCTCGTTGACATAGATCCTCAGACCAGTCCATGAAATACACTAGTCGAATATTTTCAGGAATCAGGACGAACAGATCATCTCAAATCTTTATTTGCAGAGATTTCTAGTAACTTCTGGAAACCCCAGTGGTGCTGTGTTTAAGTGCTTGGCTGTTAGTTGAAAGATAGGAGGTTCATACCAAGCAGCAGCTCGAAGGGAGAAAGGCCCGATGCCCTGATCTCACAAAGATCACAGCCACACAGCCAAGATAACCCCAAGGGTAGTTCCACTCCACTACAAGGGTTGACTTGTTGGTAACTAAGAACAACAGTAATTTTTTTTTACTATTGTCCTCTCCACTCCCTTTCACAGACAATAAGGCTTCACTCAATCTTTGTCAATTTTATTTCTGGAAAAAAAACAAAAATCTAGAAAACAAGGCCCTAATTTAGGTAAAGAGAAGAGAAGGAATTTTGGGATCAGGAATAGTTAAAGGGAAGGTTATGATTAATATGATAATAGCCCATCTTATCCCCACCCCTCACCCACCCCTGCTTAGATGAGTCTCTTCTTTAAGTCAACTGACTGGTATTTTTTCTTTTTCTTAGGAGTCATGGTATCAAAAATTCTGAGTTCCAACTGACTTGAAGGCTCCTACAAGCTAAATCTGTTTGACAGACAGCTGATTCTGGGAGGCCGTAGTCCCAGTCCAGCCAAACATGTATTTTAGTATAGCTCATGAGTTAAGAATTTAAAAAGCACTTTTAAATAAATTAAAAACTCAAAAGAAAAATAACATTGTCTGCATGAAATGACAGAGTGGGTTTTAAAATTTACTGTGCGTAAATACAGTTTTATTGGTGCACATGCACACTTTGATTTATGCATCATCTGTGGCTCCTCTGTGGTCCCTGGGTGGCACAGACAGAGTGGAAAAGTTGGCAGTTTGAACCTTCGCAGATGTTCCTTGGAAGTCAGTCCTGTGGATCTGCTTCTGCCAGGTCACAACCTTGAAGACCCTAGGCAGCAGTGGCACTGTGGCACATTTGGTCGCCATGATCTGGGATTAAGTCAGAAGAAAATGTTGTGCTGTGGTTTATGGTCATTTTTTGAAGAGCAACTGCTATGCTGAGTGGCAAAGATTGCATGTCCACAAAGCCTGAACTTCTTATTATCTGATCTGTCACAGAAAGAACTTGCCGATCTCTGCTGCTGAAACCGTGTTTCCGGAGGTACTGCCTGTCTCTAAATACAACTTGGATCCACATATGCACTGTTTGCTGGTTGGTTACACATTGGATGGCTAACCGGAAGGTCCCTAGTTGGAAAAAGCAGCCTCTACATGGAAGAAAGAGGAGGGATTCTCCTGTAAAATGTCGTTGTCTTGGAAACCCACAGGGGCAGTTCTACCTTCTTCTCTAGTGGCCGTTTGAGTTAGAATCTTTTGGAGGGAAGTGAGTTTGAATTTTGTGAGTTTGAGGGCAGAAGTGGAAAATTGTAACATAAGGCGTGTATAGAAAACACTCTGAAAATGCAAAACTGGCAGGAATATGTAAGTGAAGGCTTCTATGACAAGATGGTATGTTTTCCAATTCCATGTGCATCTCATTCTTTATAGTCATTGAGGGCCAGCTGCCCAGTGTCTGGTCTTTATCTGTGGGCCCTGGGTAGGGCTAAAAGTTGAGCATTCAGCTACTAACTGAAAGGCTGTTGGCCCACACTCATTCAGAAAATAGGACTAATGACCTACAAGGTGATGCCCCCCCAAAACTAACACACAAACAAATAAACAGAAAAAAGTTCCACTGGGCGAAGCTTTCATAGTATGCATTTTTCCCACTAGGCAAGCATCAAGCAACTCACTCTGAGTTAGTGCACCCAGTGGCGTTGCCTGGGATGGTCTTCTCTGTTCACAGTGAATTTTTTCATAAAAGAAGTTTCACTCTAACCTCATTTTTTGGTGATAGATACTTTAAGAGTACAGTGTGCAGCTGTGAAATTTTGTTTCCTGCTCCAGAAAAATGCCGCAGAAATTGTGGTGATGTTGACAACAGCTTACAAGGACAGCAATATAAGAAAAAATCAAGTGTATGAATGGTTTTCTCATTTCATAACAGAAGAAATGTAAATTGATGTCAAACCTTATTCTGGATGTCTGTCAACTTCCTGAATGGATGAAAATGTCAACAAAATTCATGCACTGGTGATGGAAGACTGACAAAGGACCATTGAAGAGATGGGGAAGTTATCTGGACTATCTTGGAACTCAGTTCAGCGAATTTTAGTGGGAGATTTGGGAGTGAGAAGGGTCACTGTGAAATTTCTGCCTCAGCTTCTGACTGACATGGAAAAAGAGCATTGAGTGGAAATGTGCCATGCTCTGAAAGAACAGCTCCGAGTGACCCAGACTTTTTCAAGGTCACTACTAGTAAGGAGACATGGTGTTATTCTTATGACCTTGAAAGCAGACATCAGATATGCCAGTGGAAGACACCATTGCCACCTTGCACAAAATAGCCTCATCAAGTGAAATCAAAGACCAAGACAATGCTCATTTGTCTTTTGATGTGAGGGGGATAGTGCATTTGGAATTTTTTCCACCAGCTCAGACTGTTCTTCAAGTTTTCTGAGTAGAGGTACTGAAATATTGTGTAACGGTGTGTGACAAAAAAGGCCTGTGGTAGATGGGGGACTGGTTTTGCCACCATGACAATGTACCTGGTCATGCAGCCATCTCAGTGGTCAATTTTTTGGCAAAAAAACAGCATGCCTCTCTTGCCCCACCTGACCTC